TTTAAGATGTTCCTTTGAGATTCTTCAAGATATTCTTGTTATCTTTGGTATGAGAGACGTCGTGCTTGAGAAATTCAAGCCTCGCTGGAAATTTATTGGAGATAATGAAAAAAAAGTACAAGGCAGTCGTTTGTGGAGAGTGCCCTGCAGTGATGGTATAAAACATACACCATGTCAAGTTGTATTTACTGATTTCTCTCAGTTTGTGAAATAACTATACTAAAACATAAAAACTGAGTTTGAATGAGTGCTGAGTTTAATGTTAAAGGCTCAGACCATTGTTCCTCCTGCAGAGATGTTTTGTATATCCACTGATTGATAATCTCACTTCATGTTTCTCATAAGCTGTGACTCATGTGAAGGCCATGCTGATTCCTTCACAGCTACGATTACAGGAACTGACTTTCTCACAGGAGCAAAAAAAGCAAACAAAGGTGCTCCAAGGCCTCTGGGTGTTATTTTAACAAGTTGAGTCTGTGGAAACATCTCTTACAATATTTAAGAGGTTGTTTCTCTGTTTGCTGCAGTACTTTCAGAATCAACAAATCATTTGATGAAGACTTTTCACATCAGTTTGGATGCATCTGTCCAGCAACAGACAGAAAAATAAATTAGGGAGAAAATATTCAAAACTCCCTTATTCTGATATGAACATTTCGTCTGATTGATTCTGTATACACGATTCATATAGTTTTATGTGCATACAGCTTCATTTCATGGTTATGAAGGAAATTTTGTAACTGATTAATTGAATATTAGATGCAGTTTTGTATTTAATATTTTCTTATTGTAAGTAAGGTTAAAGCAGACAAAGAGTTGGTTTGTTTTGTATCTTGTGTTCTTTCTTTAGCCAAAGCAAAAATGAGTTACGTTCTACGTCTGACATAAAAGGTAACGCATCCAGGGGTGTAACCAGGAAGACATGTACATTATAAGGTCAATTCATTATTAAAGTTGAAAGTTGTCAGTGTGTTGCAGAGTCTCTGCTCAGAGCAGAGCTCATGTGTTTAGTTTTGGTTCAGTCCAAGGTCTTAAGGGCTCGACACACGGGCAGCGACAAACTACAGCGATTAACGGCTGTCATCGCAGCCAGGGTGAAACCCGACACACGGGACGGGATAGCGATCGCAGCGTTGCGAATCGCGCTCTCAGGTTGCTTGTCTTCACAAAATTTGATTGGTTCTT